ATGACTTAGGTTAATTAAAGATTTTTTTTCAATTTCTAAACCCTAATATATAAAAATAATAATATAATATATTATATTAATTATATACTTTATATTATATAAATAACATAATTTTTATATTACTAGGGATAAATATATTATAATTAATATTTTTTTGTAAATTACATGATTTAATTTTAAAAATATAACAAATTTTTTGAGTATATAATTATTTTTAAAATATCATAATTTTTTATATATATTTATTTTATTTTATTTCGAACAATAACGATTCGAACACGAACGAACGCATCACTGTTTGTGTTTGGTTCGTTTAACAAATCGAACGAAAAAACTTGTTTGTGTTCATCTCGTTTGCTTATCGAACGAATCGAACACAAACACCTTGGCGAATCGAACACGAACTGTTCGCGAACAACGAGCTTTTTGACAGCCCTAATAATAATAGTTTGCTACAAAGGTTTAGGTGATGGGTGTAATAAAAGTAACTGGTCACAAAAGTTGTAGCTAGAGATTGTGATAGTAGCAATTGGCCACATATTACCGTAATTAATTGCTATAAAGGCAATAGTTGACCATAAGGTTATAGTTGGTTGCTACAATAAAGATAGTTCGCCACAAAAAATTGCAATTGAAAACTGTAAATGTTGTAGTTGATCATACAGACTGTGATTGATCATAAAACTTGTAGTCAGTGGCTGCAATACTGATAGTTCGTCACTTTTGTAGTTGGTTGCTAGAAAGGCATTAGTTGATCATAAAAGCTGTAATCGGTGGTTGTAATAACGATAGTTAACCACAACTATTATAGTTGAAAACTATAACAATAGTAGTTAGTCATAAATACCATAGTTGGCTTACAAAGACATTAGTTGGTCATAAAAGTTATACTTGGTGGTTGCAATAATTATAGTTGATCAAATAGGCCGTCATTGGAAACTATAACAGTAGTAGTTGGCTACAGATGCAATAGTTGGTTCCTACAAAGTCAATAGTCGTAAGAGTTGTAGTCGGTGGCTACAATAATGATAGTTGGTTATAGAGGTCATAGTTGAAAATTGTAACAGCAGTAGTTGGCCTAAACGGTTATAGTTTGGTTACAAAGGCACTAGTTGGCTATAAAGATTGTAGTCGGTGGGTTCAATAATGATAATTGGCTACAAAAATCATAGTTGAAAAATGCAACAGTAGTAGTTCGACACAAAGGTCCAGTTCTGTTGCAACTGTTGCAGTGATCGTCGACAACTGGCGGTCGGTGACATCATGTGGTGATGGTGGGTGGTGGTCGATGGTGTCTGTTGGCTACGGAGGTCGATCATTACTCGACGGGACTTCTCTATATTGTTCATTAATAACCACTTCAATAAAATAATTTAATGGATTGTACATTAAATTAAAAATATTCATTAAAATTTTTCTAATTTGGTTAGGCCATTTTAATGAATTAAAGAACTAAGTGATTATTTTTAAATATTTTTTCATGAATGCACAAATATATTTTCATAGCAAAAATATTTTATTTTAATTTATTATAGATAAATAACTTTTTTAATACATTATAAAAAACATTTTTTACTTGAATTCGCAAATTTACAGAGATAAATATTTTTGTAGTAATGTATAAAAAATTTCATTAAAAATAATTCTCTTTAATTCATTTTAAATTAAAATATTAAACAATTTTTAAAATAAATAAAAAATTTTAATAATTTTTTCATATATTTCAATTTTCTTAAACTAAAAAAAAAAGCATTAAAACATTTTGACATATTTAAATTCTTAACAATTAATGAAATCATTGAAAACTCCAATTGATGTTAGCTTTTCATTAAAAACATAATCTTTTTCCATTTTCTACTTTCAAAATATAATTAAATAGAAAATTTATTTGCTTATTAAGTCATATTTTGTGCCCCTAAATAAAATATATATAAAAAAATCTACATAAGAATATCATCCCGGTAATTCGTTCTCCACTGTTGAAATCTTCAACCCACTACTGCTCCTCCTCCCTTTTCGCCATATATATCATGGCCACGCTCTCTTCCTTCCCCGAATCGCCCATTTCTCTTCCGGCGACTATCAATAACAGAAATAAGGGGGAAAAAAAAATGCTTTTGAGTCCATACTTCGCCAAGTGCTTCGATTCGCAGAAGACGGAAGAACAAAAAGAAGACGAACTCCATGCCTTCCAGCAGCACAAGAAGGAAATCTTAACCCTACCTCTGCAGCAAGGATGGCGACATTTCTCTCTCCGCTTCTACAAAGGCTTCTGGTTCGCCGAATTCATCCTCCCAGGTGTTCTCTCCCTTCGCCGCCACTTCCTCCCCAACCCTTCAGACATATTCCTGGCCAGCTACCCCAAATCCGGCGCAACATTGCTCAAAGCTCTCGTCTTTGTGATCTCCACCCGCAACCCTGATTCGCTCCTATCATGCCACCCACATGACTGCTCTCCTTATTTGGAGGGCCTTTTCGCCGGCCCCCAAGTTCCCGACCTAGACATGTTACCCTCCCCGCGACAGTTGGCCACCCACATTCCTTACTCTGTTCTGCCGGAATCCGTCCGAGAGTCTCCCTGTAGAATCATATACCTTTGCAGGGAGCCGAAAGATACGCTCGTGTCCACTTACCACTTCTTCAATGGAATGCGCCGCCCTGAGTCTTCTCAGCAACCCATGCCGTTCATGGAGGCCATGGACCTCTTCTGCAAGGGGCAGTCGATTTACGGTCCTGTGTGGGAGCACCAGATGGAGTACTGGAGGGAGAGCCAGAGGCGACCTGATAAGGTTCTATTTCTCACGTACGAGTATCTGAAAGCGGATCCCGAGACCAGTGTGAGAAGGATGGCGGAATTCATGGGGATGCGCTTCACGGCGGAGGAGGAGATGAGCTGCATGGTGGGCGAGATTGTCAGACAAACCAGCATTGAGAAGTTTAGCGGATTGGAGGTTAATAAGGTGGGGATGAAGTTTGAGGAGACTGAATGGGCAATAAAAAACTCTTCTTTTTTTCGGAATGGGAGGGTCGGAGATTGGAGAGAGCATTTTACTGCGGAGATGGCGGAGAGGCTTGACGCCATTACTAAAGACAAACTGCATCAGCTTTCCCATTCGAATGAATCCTAGGCACGAAGCGTCGCAACTGAATTAGGCTTTAGAGTTTTTTTATTTATTTATTTTTTGTTTTATATTTTATCTTTGAAATAAGCATGAAATATAATAAATGTAAGTCTATTTTTAATAGGCTTCCCACTGGAGCTAGAATTTCTCTTATCGAAATGGACCAGTCCTGTTTTATTCCTATGATTTATTCAGCTTATTATCATGGGAAAATGTTAGATCCGGATGTTCTTCTAGGTCTCCACATCAATAAGATAACGCTATGTGAGCACGACCCACTCTGATATAAATTAAAATAGAAAAATTTGTCCATGTAAAATTCGTCTGTGTATGATTCAGACTCAGACCGAGATCGAATAATTATGATCATAATATTTACCGCACGTTGTCATGCGTGAAAATGGTATGCAAGAGCTAGAATAAAAAATTGATTTTAGAAAACTGAAGATGAGAAATTTTGAAAGACGAAGAAGGTCTACGACGATGATGGATAGCGAAGAGCATACTGACAATATCGTAAGTTTAAACCTTGCAGTAGTTACTTCTCAATTTGGAAAGCATGTATGGTATTTTATCCTTGAAATAAAGTTAGGGCTATCAGATGATAGGTGATATACACTAAGTTTAAAAATTTGTTGCGTATCTTCATTAGTATATTGTATATATGAAGGAGAAAATCAAATTTACGATTAAATCTTGTCTATTCATTTTCATGGGTTGTTTGCTAAAGAAACTTTATATAAGGTCACAAAGCATGAAAATATGTTATCCTCGTGAAGTTATGGGTTCAGTATCTTCAAAAGAACTTCAAAGAAAATAAATAAATTGTCTTCATATATGATGTGTACCTCTTTTTTTTATTGAAGAAGATGCATGATTTAAGATCCTGAGGAAGGTTAGACATGCTATTTAGGAAATATTATGTGAGGTTTATTCATAATTACATTGGATTGAACAAAAAATTCATCAATTTTCGTATGTGCTAACTGAGGTTGATCCTTGAATTAATGCATTATTTGAGCTATGTTATGCTATTCATTAAAAATTAGACAAACTTTATTTAGAAAGCTATTGTCAAAAGGTGATAAAAGACCAATTCAAAAGTTTTGTGTGGACTATGTACTGTAGTTTAGTCATGTTTTAGAGCAATCAAATTGCTAATATATGTTAATTTATAAAATTTATGTCAGGTGTATTCATTAATATGTTGTCTAAACAAAGGATAAATTTTAAAGTATGATCAAATCTTATCATTTGTTTTCCTTGGGTTGTTTGTCGTTGATAAAATTATATATAGGGCCCCATAGTGTGGTAATGAGTTATCCCCATGCAGTTTAGGGTTGATTATTGAAAAAAAAAAGTTTACAATAATGAGTAAATTATAATGCTACAGGCTCTGTATGATATTTTCATTGAATAAGAGGTCGATTTGACTTTGAGAAAGGCAAAAATGCCAAATATGCAACATTATGTGAGGTTTATTAAGAAATTTATTGGATTTAAGAAATAAATCATCATTTTTTTGTGTTGTGTATTGTGTGCTCACTGAAGTGTTTCGTTGAATTTACGTTTTAAGGGAGCTTTATTGTGTTACTCATAATAAAATAGTCTGACTTTCTTCACAGAACTATTATCAAAAAGTGATAAAATAACATTTTACATGTTGTGTATTGACTGTTTATTAAGGTTAAGTCATGTTTTAAGACAATTAGATACCTGATACATGCTAATTTGAAAATTTTATGTCAAAGTTCTTCATTATAATATTGTCAAAATGAAAGATAAATTCTAAATTATGATTAAATCTTGTCAATTGGGTTCCCATTGTTCATTTGCCGAGAACAAAAATTTGAATGGGTACTCATACCGTGATAATGAGTTATGTCAACACAGTTTTGTGTTGATTTTATTAAGAAAAAGTGTGAAAAAAGAGAGTAAATTACACTGCTACATATTGTGTATGGTCTTTTTACTAAAGCAGATGCTTGATTTGGGATTATGAGGAAGGTGAAAAATGCTAATTATGCAATATTACGTGAGGCTTATGTATAACTTTATTTTATTGATGAATTAATTCATCAATTTTTTAGATTTATATTGTGTGATTGTTGAAGTGGTTACTTGAATTTGCGCATTATATGAGCTGTATTGTGTTATTCAAGAAACATTAGCCCAGCTCTCTTTAGAAAACTGGTTCCAAAAATTGATAAAGAAGCATTTTATAAGTTGTATATGGACTGCGCACTGAGATAAACTCATGTTTTAGGGCTTTGATATAATTGATATATGCTAATTTTAATTATTTATGTTAGGTATCTCCTATATTAAACTCTCTAAAGAAAGGATAGATTCTAAAATATGCTTAAATCTTATCACTTGGTTACCGTTGTGAGTTAGCTGAGGAGAAAACTATACATAGTGCCCCATAAAATGATAATAAGTTGTTTTCGGTTGACTCCTTAAGAAAATGTTTGAAAAAAAAATGAGTCAATTATACTTGTACATGTTGTGTATGGTCTTTTAGTTGAAGCAGATTTGTGAGTGGAGACTCTACTGGAAGGTGAAAAAAGCTAATTATGCAAAATTAGGTAATGTTTTCGCATAAATGTATTTGATTGTGAGTGTTTTATTTCAATTTCTTTGTTGTTGATAAACATTTCGATATTTTTACAATATTTATAATTAATTATATATATGTAATCTTTTAATTATGTTTTAGGAAGATTTTTAACTCTGCATGTAGTGCTGAATATTAGATGCCCTTCATATGTAGGCATGTTTGAATGATGTAATTCATTTTCATGGTGAAGACACTGCAGACAAATTACATGCTTCCATTGTTCATAATGAAAATGAGGTTTATGGTTTGTATTGTAGTTATGCACATTACAGTGATTTAGTGTTGGGAAGGACCATATCAGTTATTGGCCAAATTCCAGAAATATAAAATCAAAATAATTTTTGTGCACTAAATCTAGTTTCAAAAGAGAGATTAAAAATAATGGCACAGTTAAATTTCATAAATGAGACATAAGATGTGGATGCTCCACCATGATTAGATATGAAGTGGATCTTAATGGCAATTGGAAGCTACAAAATTTATAGATAGTCATAATCATGCATTAGCAAAATTAGGTGTTCAACACTTTTTGAGGTCCAACCAGGGTATCAATGAAGATAAAGGAGAGGCGTTGAGGACGATGACAAAAGCAAGAGTTGGAGCTACTGATGCATTTAACTATCGTTCTACATAACTGTGTGGCGAGGAAAGGTGGGATTTATAAGAAGAAATGCACTTAATTTCATCCAAAAAGATTGAGAGAAAGGATTGAAAACGATGATAGTAATTATCTTATGCAATTATTCACTGAGAGACAAACTGAAAATATCGTGTTTGCATGGGATGTTCAAATTTATGAATGCAAAAGGCTAAAGAGGTTTTTTTTTTAGTGATAGATTGTCAAGAGTTGATTACGATTATTTTGGCGATGTAATAATTTTTTATACAAGTTAACATATTAACAAGTATAATTTGGTGGGTGCACCTCTTGTTGGGGTCAACCATCATTGGAAAAACATTCTATTCAGAGTAGCCTTCTTATCAGATGAGACAATTGATTCATTCCATTGGTTATTTAGGGCATTTCTCCATTAAAAGAATGACAAACATCCTTTAGCAATATTCACTGATCAAAATCAAGCAATGGAAAGAGCCATAGAAGAAGAATTGCCCCGAACTTATCATAGACTATGCTAATGACATATATCCAATAAAAAAATGTGAAATGTGCAATATTTCAATAGTAATAAGTTAGTTCATAATATATTTTATAAATATTAAAGTGAATTTGATTCAGAAGATGAGTTCGAACAAGTATGGGCTAATATGTTGGAAAAAGGGAATCTTCATGATCATGAATGGTTAGATCAGTTAAATAAAATTAGAAACAAGTGGTCAACAACTTTCAATAAAAATTCATATAGCATTGGAATTTTAGCAACACAATGAAGTGAGTTTACGAATAATTCATAGCATGACATCTCTGAGTCAACTAGTTCTATTACTGATTGTTATCAGGGATGGAAAAAATCATGGCTTCGTGGAGACGAAATGAACATTATGAAGATTTTAAATGTTTTCAATCTGCAATTGCATCAGTTTTTAAAGGTAGCCCATTATTGAAGCAAGCAGCTAAATTTTGTTCAAGAAAATTGTCCTCCTTTGAAGAGGAATTTCTACATGGTTTGGTGGTCTGTTTATGGAAGTTTTTGGTGATGATCCCACCAAGTATTACCTAAAAAATTTAGAGAGCAAATGAGCTTCAAAAACTTGGACCGTTAACTTTCTTAAAATCATATTTTTTATATGAGTTGTGGTTGTGAAAATTTTGAAATAATGGGAATACTTTGTTCTTCTTGTATTAGAGTTTTGAGCCAAAAAAATATAACAAAAATACTGGAGAAGTATCTCATTCTACATCGGGATTCATGTGTCATATGAGACATTTACGTTATTGACAGCCTCAGTGGGTTCAAAGATTTACAGGGCAAGGGTTGTTTTTCAACAAGGTTTATATTTTGAAACCACGTGAGTAACTTATCATTCCAAATAAGCTCGAGGACTCAAGGAAATGAAGAAGCCGACCGACATATGTTAGAGACATTGAAGAAGTTATCTGAAGATGATGACTTAGTATTGTCTGGTAAATTGCCTAACTCAAAACAGATGCCTAAGAGAAAGAAGATTGGAAGCTGTAGTGTTAAATTGAAAGATCCAGCTAAAATGAGTTCCAAGGGTGTTTCTAATGCTATATTGAAATCACCTTGGGAAAGAAAGAAGAGAGTTAAAAGTAAGGGTCTAAGTACTTCTCATCTTATTATGACCATATTACATGTTATCTTGTTAACTTATTTCATGTTCACCCCAGAAAAGTGAGATAAATATGTAATTGCTGAAGAGCACACTAAATATGAAGAAGCTAACCCTCCCGTTGAAAACTCTCGAAATGCTTCAATTTTCAATCCATTACCTCTGTGCTTTCTGGAGGTACTCTGGCAGCCATCTGCAGGATACATGAAGTTGATGATGGACATGATCGCTCAAAGGAATTTATGAATTGTAAATTTGGATAAAAGTTGAAAGTTTAGAAACTAAATCACTTGTTAATACAATCGTTGCAGAGTCACCCAAGATGGAATGTGCAATTTACGTTTAAAATTAACAATTATGATAATAATTTATTCAATCTAGCTGACTGCAACATAGAAATCCAAACACAATTTGAATATAATACTATAGCTCAATTTTTTAAACAACACTGAAAAAAATCTCTTATGGGGTACATCATCAAAACCACTATAAAGCTTAAATCATTATTACTCAAGTTCGCAGTAACTTGAAGGTGAAATGTTGATTGCCTAAAATTGTTTTTTGAATGAATACAACATCAAACTTGGCAATCAAATAAAAATATCGGCCATCATCAGTAGTGGCCAAAATGCTATGTTATTGATTAAAGATGAAATTTTACATCCATATGCATATTTGAAAAAGATATATTAGAAAATACAGCATAAATTTGATTTTTTTTTTGAAATGATCGAACCTAATTTGCAATATTTAGTAGATATTATTGATTGGAACCATGTATATCAAATGTATTGGTAGAATTCTTTTGGGCGACAATAAATCATGTAATTTGTCGCTTCCAAAATTAAGGCTAATAAGTAATATTGATATGATTATAATTAGATTATTGAATTCAACATTGGTTGGCTTAATCCATCAAGCCCATAAGGCATATTAAGCATTTGGTCTTTTCTTTTCTTAAGAAAAATCATTTTTTGATGCACAATATAAATGTAAATATGCATAATTTTTATAACTATCAATACGTTGAATATGCAAAAGCTACAATTGATTTCAGCTAAATATGAATAAGTTTTAACGATTTTACCAGGCACCAAATTGACTGAAACAGGTATGAACAGTATATATCGAAGTTCAAATCAAAGGTTAATGAGCTCGACAAACTCCCTCCACCATAGCGCCTTCTCCGAGCTCCCTTAGCATCGCCACCACCTGCAACATGCTCGGCCTCTTCGATGGAAAGTCATCTACGCACTTCAAAGCAATCTCAAGAAATCCCTTCATCTCCTTCTCCTCCACCTCCCCACTGCCATTCTCTGCTTCGATCAGAAGCACCTTGTCCAAAACCTCTCTCCCCTTCCCCTCCCCCACCCTCATCTTCACCCAACCCACCAGATTCGTATCCCCAAAATCTTCCTTATCTGTTGGTCGCCGCCCGGTGATGATTTCCAGTAACACTACCCCGAACGAATACACGTCACCCTTGGCCGTGCACCGGAAGCTCTGGTAATATTCTGGCGGCACATAGCCGGGCGTTCCAGCCAACGTGCTGACGCTCAGGTGCGTGTCGAGAGCGCTGATTAACCTCGCCATTCCGAAATCCGAAACTCTCGCCTCCTTCTCCCCGTCGAGCAGCACGTTGCTCGACTTCATATCCCTGTGTATAATGTGCGGGATGCAGTTGTGGTGTAGGAAGCAGAGCCCCTTCGCTGCACCGCGAGCTATCTTCTTCTTCCGATCGTCCCAGCTCAGTGTCGTATCTAGCTCCCGCCGCCTCAGGTGAAGCATGTCCTCGAGGCTCCCGTACCTCATGTACTCGTACACCAGCAGCCGCTCCTCGCCGACCTTGCAGTAGCCCAGCAGTGGTACTAGGTTTCGGTGCTTGATCTTTCCCAGCGTTTCCATCTCCGCCGTGAACTCCCGATCCCCTTGGTAACTCAAGTGTATCAGCTTCTTGATGGCGACGCTCGAACCGTCCTTGAGCGTGGCTTTGAAAACCTCCCCGAACCCACCGCTCCCGATCATGCTTGCGGTGGAGAATCCGTTGGTCGCCTCGATCAACTGCGAGAACGTCAGCTTCCGAAGCTGGCGCTGGAACGTGGCAACGTTGATACTCAGTGGCTCCTTCTCTTTCCCAATCTTCCAAGTTGTCGCAGCGTACGCCGCGTGAAGGCTGCCAAGCATCTTCGCGTCCTCGGCCTCCCGCCGCCGAGCCCTCGCTAAAATCGCCCACACCATCACCACGCATATCACCGCCACAGACATCAACACCCCAAGTACCACGCTGTTCGCCCACGCCGCGGAGGCAGGCCGATTGCTCCGGCGGGCTAGATCCGCTCCAGCCACCGGCGGAAGTTCACGGTTTACCTGGCACGGGGCCAGCGGGACCCCGCAGAGGCCAGGGTTATTTGCGTATTGGCTCGCCGGCAGGGTGCTGAGCTGCCCCCTTGCGGGGATCGGACCCGTGAGGTTATTATCTGCTAGATCGATCTGAACCAAAAAGGAGAGGTTCGAAAAGGAATCCGGGATCTCACCCTGGAGTTTATTATGTGACGCGTCGAAAACGCCGAGATTCCTTAATCGGCCTAGCGAAGCAGGGATTTCTCCGGATAAGTTGTTATGCGCAAGTTCGAGTACCTGGAGGACTAGCATGTCCCCAAACTCATCGGGTATTCTCCCTTGTAGCTCGTTGTAGGAAAGGTCGAGGTACTCGAGGGTCTGGTAATGTGTCCAGTCACTGAGAGCGGCGCCAGAGTAAAGCCTGGTGAAGTCGCACGACTTGAGCGTAGGGACCTGGAGTAGCCTCTCCGGCCTGATTCCGGCGAACTCCAGTAATCCCCCCACTCCCTTGCACAAATTCCCCACGTTCCGTACGAACGCTAGCGTATTACCTGATAAAATGCCGCTAAGAGCCCTTGCTCCCAGCTGCCGGCCGAGGCGCGGCGGGATACCCCCTGAGAGTCTGTTACTGTTGAGATCTAACCACACGAGGCTGGTGCAGTTGCCGAGATCTGGCGGAATCTTGCCGCTGAGGCTGTTGTTAGCCAGCTGCAGCACCGCAAGCCGCGAGAGACGGCCCACCTCACTGGGGATTCTACCGGTGATGCGGTTACTGGTGAGAGAGATCCACTCCAGATCGCTGCAATTGAAGAGCTGCAAAGGTATGTCACTGCTGATGAAGTTGTTATTGAGGATCAGGTTCTTTAGCCTTGGGCATTGGCCAAGTTCTGCAGGAATGATGCCGCTGAGTCCGTTAAACCAAAGCATCAGCTGTTCCAGGTTATGGAGGCGACCGAGCTCTGGTGGGATTGAACCTTCGAGGTTGTTAATACTAAGATCAATCGTCCTCAGCTTCAAGCAGTACGACAATTGGGATGGGATCTTACCGGTGATCAAATTATCTGGGGCACGTAGCTCCTCTAGGGAGGAAGCTCCAGGGCAGATATTCTGTGGCAAGGGACCTGTAAGCTTGTTTGAGCTGAAGTCTGCTATCCTCAAGCTCCTGCAGCTAGAGAGTGAACTGGGGAGTGACCCTGATATGAAGTTATTGCTCAGCAATAAACTCTCAAGAGATGAGAGATTTTGGAGAACGTCCTCTGGAATCGCATCAGAGATGTTGTTGTTAGCTAGGTCGAGCAACTGGAGAAAGGAGCAGGAGGAGAAAGAGTTTGGTATTGAGCCGGAGATGTTGTTTGTGGAGAACTTAAGTTGCAGTAGCGATCCACAGGCATTACCTAGTCCTGCTGGAATTGAACCAGTTAAGTGATTTCCAGAGAGGTCGACCCTCTCAAGGCTTCGGAGTTGGGCAAAGGAATTGGGTATCTGCCCAACTAGCGCATTGGAAGAGAGGTTCAGGAATTTGAGGTTGGTGCAGTTGGACAGGGAATTGGGAATTCCACCGGTTAGGTGATTTGTTGACAGATCTATGTGCAGCAAGCTCTTACAGGAGTTTCCGAAGTTGAGGCTGGACATGGTGTTTGATATGTTGTTGAAGGAAAGGTCAAGTAATTGCAAATTCCCTGATTCAGCGAAGAAATTTTCTGGAATAGCTTTGACCAAGTTGTGAGAGAGATCAACATACTCTAGAGTAGCATGAATTGAGACGAAATTTTCGGGAATAATTCCAGAAAGCCCTGCTGAGGAGAGATCAAGCTTTTGCAGTGCCCAGGGGAGCTGAATTATACTGGTGGAGTTGATGGAGAAGGAATTGCTGGAGAGATTGAGGACTGATAACGTGGTAAGAAATGATAGAGGGTAGAACGAGAGATTTCCTGAGAGATTGCATCCACCGAGATTTAGCTGAGTTGGTCTGCCATGAGTGCATGAGATTCCAAACCAGTTGCATGGGTTTCTCCCAGGTTTCCAATCGGAAAGAACTCCGCGAGGGTCCTTCTCAATCGTTTTCTTGAGTACTAGCAGAGCTTCTGCATCGGTTTTGATGCTCTGGTAGAGCTCATAGTTTTGATCTAATATTGACGACAATGACAAACATATCATACTGGAAAGAAGGTTTAGAAGGAGAGAAATGTAGAGAACTTGGATATTTTTCTTCGTCATGGGCAATAAAGTGAGGGTGTGAGAGAGAAGACAGTAGAATCCTGCTTTTAAGTGTGCAAAATGGTGATGAATGGGGAAAGATAGAAGGGAAGGGGTAGCGAAGCTTACAGAGATGGGCTTTGAAGTTGGTGAGCCATTTCTCAGTGTTTTGGATGAAGCCAGCAAAGGAGCAGTTAAATATCTTGGGAAGGTCAAACATGGTGATCCAACAATGCTTTTTTTAAACAAAAGAGATGTGTTTGCCCTTTGAAGGGGATCCCAAGGACTACATTGTGGACCTATAGAAATGGCATATTAGTCCCTCTCCCTTCAAAAGGATTCAAGCTTTGGACATGGACATGCTCCAGTGCTTGTTCTGGTACTTTTTGGGAGTTCCCACACCTCTTTTCCTCGTCCATTTTTGTTATTATTTTGGCGGTTCTGCCTGTTGAGAGAGCTGGAAAAAAAAAAATTTAAGAGATCCAATAGGCGTATTTTTTAGCTTGCTTTAGCTGCACAACTTTAATTAAGGAAAGTTGTAACTGCGTGCATCAGGATAGGCCTTTCTGCTCCCCTTCCACAGAAGTATTGGCCCGCCAAAAGAATAAAGCATCAGTGATCTCTCTCCTTTCAGACGTTCTTAAAACAATGGCATGCCATGAAAGGTGATTATGGCTTCTTTTTCTGATTTCACCGTATCTTTTCATCCACGCTTCTTAATTTCTTTTCGTTTTTATTTTTCCGTAACATTAACTTGCATGAAGAAAAAAAAACAAATTTTCTCATTAGATGTGCTGATTAATGTATTTTTTATGCAGATTTGGAATTTTATTTTTACAGCTTCCATGAGAACCTTGTGCCATAGAATTCATAGACTGATAGATGTTACGGAAGATATTCTTGAACATATTTACAGGGTTATTTCGTACTTTTAGAAAGATATTCTTGGTATATAAATGTAAATGCCCCTCCTTGTAGCTCTTGTCTGCATCACCACTAAGATGGCATGTTTGAAATTGTGGTGAGATCAAAGAGACCACCTTGTGATAATGCTTCCCCTATGCGATGACAACCCACTTTAATTCAAGTGGAATATGTCATTATGGCAGTAATATCCCCTATCAGTTCACGTGTGAACATAATTATTTCAAGATAAACAAGCACCAAACTTTAAGAGTGGGTTCCAGTGGTTTAGGTAGGAAGACGGAATAAAGTTGATTTCGATTCTAATTAGTGAAACACTTGCTTTAGCATCTAATCTTATTAAAATTGATTCAAAATTCAGCTGTTTGTCTTGCAGTGTCTGATCTTTTACTGTTCTTGCACCTTGTTTTTACAGAAATAATTTTACTGCATGTATTATAACATATTTGAGGATGGTATGACATCAATTTATCTGAACTTATGTTTTACCTTCGTAATTTCCAATCATTAATTTCTATCATGAGTAGATACAGGAATTGCCAGGCTTCATATCATGAAGAGTGTGGTCATTTTAGCGCTGATATCAGGTTCATCTTATTGCAAAGGTATCTCACAAGTGAATTATTCAGCTGGTTGTACTATTTTAGTGTAAGAAGTGAAGACCTGCAGAAATGCTTAATGGAAATTTATACAGGAAAGCATGAAGATGGAGAAGAGATAAGGCAGCTAGCTGTGCTGCTTAATATTCATTTACCTAGCCAAAGCAGTAAGAACGATGATTACAAATATATAGGATAGGATGAAGACTCTAGAGAGGCAGTGGTCCCCTGTTGGTTACAAAAGGACTTCATGGGAAAGTGGAGAATATCATCTGGTGGCAATTGATATTGGGATGATACAGTTGTTACCTCCCCTCAAGATCACAACCCCTTTCTTTGATTGTGAGCTTGTTTCTAAGTTTGATAAATTGCGGTTGAGATAAGCTTTTGGTAAGTATATCGGCTATCTGATATTGCGAAGTAATTTGTTCAACCTGAATTTATTTTGAAACCAGATGATCCTAACGAAGTGGTGATCAATTTTCACATTTTTTTTGCGAGCTTTAAAAAGAGGATTTAGTGCAATAGCATTAGCTGTGACGTTGTCAAAATAGATAGGTGTAGGAGCATCTAGTGTAATGTTGAAATTCTGAAGAAGATGCTATAGCCATATAATATTTGTGGTGATTGCCGCGTGAGCCCGGTAATCCGCTGCCGTGGAGGATCGAGCCACAGTCTTCTGTTTCTGAACTCTCCACGTGATGAGAGTGTTGCTTAAAAAGGTACAAAAACATGTGGTGGATCTACGATCAACAGTATTGCCCCTCGAATCAACATCAAAGAAGCACCTGAGTTGAAGATCTCCTTTGGTAAGTTGAAGGCCATAATGAATTGACTTTGAGATAATGAAGTAGCCTTTTGATTAGATGAATGTGGTAGAGAAGAGGTTTGTGCATCTGTTGGCAAATGAAGTTGACAGCAAAAACTATGTCTGGCCTTGTAATAATTAAGAATTTTAGTGAGCCGACAAGTTGACAATTTTAAGTGCTTTGGGAGTATTCATGTTGAGGACCAGCATCCGGTTCTACTTTGTATGTAATAGAGTTTGAATAGGTTTGCAATTCTCTATGCCTAGTTGTTGTAATATAGAGTTGATATAGTGTGTTTGAGTAAGAAAATACCCATGAGCATTTTGCCGGATATAGACTCCAAGAAAATGGTTGACATGACCAAGATCCTTTAACTTGAAAGCTGATTTGAGGTGATTAAGGACATTGGTAATAGCTGCAGAATCATTTCCAGTAAGTAGTATGCCATCGACATATACTAGGAGATACATGTAGACACCATTATGCTTATATGTAAAAAGAGATGGATCCGTTTTGCTCATTTGAAACCCTTTGAGCTTAAGGTGGTTAGAGAAGGTTGCATACCACTGACATGGAGCCTGTTTGAACCCATATAGGTCCTTTTTGAGTAAGCAAATATGATTAGGATATTGAGTATCCTGAAAGCCTTGTGATTGTTGCATGTAGATGGTTTCATTCAGTGATCCATGAAGGAAGGCATTTGAAATATCAAACTGTTTAACGGACCACTTGTGATGTAGAGCAACCGTGAAAAGAATACAAATGGTGAGAAGTTTGGCTACCGGATTGAGTGTCTCGTTGTAGTCGATGCCCTGTATTTGCTTGAAACCCTGTGCAACTAGGCGTACTTTATGTTGAGCTATAGAACCATCCGAATTAAGTTGGTGCGGTAAGTCCACCTGCAACCAATAATGTTGTGATGGAGCGGTGGTGGAAAAAGTTGCCAAGCTCCTTGACTTTGTAGCAGCTAGGATTGGGGGAAGTGAGGGTAGTGGTGTGGAGATCGAGGAATTGTCTTTGTTTAAGAGATCCTGTTTGGACTCGGATAACCATTGGGTGTTTAGTGGGAGCTTTGAATATAACAAGCGTCCTATCACATGTATATGATGATTTGATTTCTCAGCGAGTTCTGAATTGTAGAAGTTTCAAGCGGATTCTCACTCCAAATGATGAGTTTATAGCATAAAGCCTAAAGTTGGCTCTAGTTTAAGGGAACTGCAAGTGAGTTTGTTTGATGGATTTGGCTTCCGAGAGCCCCTAGCTGATCAGTGAGTATGTTGGTTGAGTTTATTAATTATTTGAGCAAAATCTCTTAATGAGTGAGCAATTTCGTACCTTGGCCAAGTTCAATAGATGAGTACAAAGAGTTAGAGATAACTATTACCAGATTCAACTCTTAAGCATTTCAAGGCTTTTGGCAACAACAAATTTTGGGAGTTCTTGATTGAAGAAGCTGTATGCTAGTTCTCAATCAATAATTCATTGAATATATTTCAAATTTCTTGCGGAATTAATATGACACGTGTATATCAGTGCAAATAATATTTGCCAAATTTATTTGCAGTATTATTCGCAGAGGCTATATATAATTGAAAAGGTAGATGGCCATATTTTTATATATAGCCAACTGGACTGTACGAAGTCCAAAAATTAGCAATGGAAAGCGACTGATAAAGCAAATTAGGGGCAATTTATGGATTAAACGGCAGGAATATGCCGCGCTATGTGGTCCGCATTTGCTCTTTAATTTGGTGTTGGTTTCATGAGGATGTCGGAGCGTGACTTTTGATGCAAGCGCACTACAGTCTATCCGCCATCCTCATTGACTTGAAAATTAGTTTAATTGCTCAACCGGACAAGAAACTTTTCGTTAGTAGCTGCTTTGGTCTTTTAATTCTGTCTCCCTTAAAGATTATGAGAATCTGACTTTTGGAAACTAAGACCGCCTGAACACAAGTGAAGAATTTGAAGATAGTTTGAGCTCTGAACAAGAACAACTATGAACCGGCTTATTCAATTCATATTTAGGTTGAAAACATATATGAAGCATTTATAGAATCATAGAACATCACATTCATAATCATGAATTTTGTGTATTTGTGATTTAACTGACTCATTGAAACTCTTCATTTTATTTCCAATTCTTATGTACTTATTCACCTAACACCTAAATTTTGATTTTAACATCTATACCACCCAAATTTTTAATTTCACATCAAAAATACCACCTGCATATTCTTTAAAAAAAATAAAATACATATTTATCATATATAGGTATGGCAGTATGAATGTAAAAATTGAATTTTATGTGTTTAGACATGTAAATGCAGAAGAAATGACTGAAATGTATGCAAATATTCTTTTTTATTTTATTTTATTATGATTATTATTTGTAAAGTTATCTGTCCTGTTGCATAATCATGATTTTATTAATTTTTTTGAAAATAATTTCAGAATAAATTTGTTGAATGGAATGAAAGGAGCAGTAATAGTCATGGTGGTGCAGGTATTCTTAATATATTATGCCACGGCTGCTAAAGGTTGTGGAGCTGTGCTGAATGATGAACTCTACAACAGCACGCACGATCTATCATCATTGTTCTGCTGTACGTAGCTTCATTGCATTCTTTATTAGTTGTTCCATTCCTTTTGTTCGACTGGAAATTTGTTTTGCAATCATGAAAGTGTGCAGGGGGGAAGCATCAGCGTGTTGCATCCCATTCATTGGGCTTCTTCAGATAATTGAGCTTCGGCCGTTAGTTTTCAAAAAAAAACATAATAATATTATTATTATTATTTATTTTTCATTTGAGATTAATTCTTAAAAGCCAATGGGTAGCACTTAAATTGCATTTATAGACCCTTCAGCATCAACTAAAGTGTATAATATTATGAAAATTTCGGATAAGATTGAATAAGAGAAATTAATTTATTAGAGGCTACATACATACCGGCCGATTCAATTTTACTTCTTACATTTGTACCACCCTAAATGTTCATATTACATCAAAAAAAACCACCATTAAAAAGTGAAAAACATATTATTTATGAACAATGGCATGTATATACATTTTACTATTTTTTTTATCAAATATTTCAGAATATGCATCTTTACTTTGTTATAAGCTTAAATAACCTAATTTTACATCATTTGAGGCGTTGGTAGAGGATCGCTCCAGCCAACAACTTTGATACAACAGAAGCGAGTTAAGAGCAAAATTTCAAATACTGAGCATAATCACTTGTTAGACACAAGTGTACCACAAAATGATAATAAACAATGCAACGTCCATAACAGCTCGAATTGGTAAATTCTCATTCATTCATGATCTCACAATTTTGTCTAATTTATATATATATTCCCTAACGAAGGTCAAAGAGTGCTCCAACAAAAGCACACTTAACTTTAAAATTTTTGATAAAATTCTAACCATTACATTAAAAGGCACAACAATGTTTTAGAGCCCAATTTTATTTTGAACAATCCCTGATTTAAATACATATAAATAGAATAGTATGATACGACAGAAACTGAGAGTTAGAACAAAATTTCAAATACGAGCATAATCACTAACTAGACACTAAGCAATGATTTGAAGAAGCAACTGTGAAGCTGCTGCAAAAGAAGTCTGTTCAAAAAATTACGTTGACTATTACAAACTTGTTTTAATTTCAAAAAATAAGGCCACACTTTTATGGTAGTCACCATATTTTAATAGCTTAGGTTGAAAAAAATAATTTTCTACTACAGAAATTTTTAGAAAGCAGTAAGAACAATTTTCCAAACAAAATAATAGTTGCAGTCTAAAAAATAAAATAATCAAAAAACTGTCCCAAACGGACACTAAATGCACCACGAAAGGATAATAGGCAATGCAACTTTTGTAATGGCCTGAATTCTCACTCATTGAGATATTGTAACCTTTAGCCTCACAATTATATCCCATTTGATGTATTTTCCCAAGGAGAAGTCAGAAAGTGCTCCAACAAAAACACGCTTAAACTTCAGAGCTTCTGATCAAATTCCAACCATCATACAAAAAGTCACATTGATATTTAAGAGCCTAATTTTATTCCACTTCATATATTTAACAGTCTCTCATTTAAATGACATCCTCATCAATTTTCTTAACCTTGACTTATTCACAATAAAAATAGAATTTTAAATGTAACCCTTATAAATTTAAGGGATGAGCACACCATGTAGCATTGTCAAATCGATGGATCATGATGTGGCACCAATGTCATAGCATTTTATTGTTTATAACCCTAATCAATTGCTCTAATATCATTTGTAACAATATGAACTCTCGCCTACAAGATATTATTCGTTTTCACCTAATGATCTTATGATTTTACCTCATTGGTGTAACTTCCCAAGAGATCACCCATAATGACTGCTCCCCCAAGAGAGCTTTTCAAAATTTCTAATGAATTCCAATAATTAAGCCCAAAGGTGGCTCAATTTTAAAGAACTCAACATCAATCGGCGCAAAACTATTAAAAGAAAACTAGGAAAGAAAATTTCAAGTAAAAAAAAAAAAAACGGCTGACCCTCCATTCACGAGCCAGAATCATTAACAAAAAGGGATCGGAATTAAACCATAAATACTAATATATTGGATGCCATTAAAAATGATATTATTTAATGATTTAAAATAAGCCACAACGTCAATTATGAACAAACAAAATAAATAATAAATAACAAATAGGCTCAAGATTAGATTATTAGATTATACACAATTGATAAATATTTAACCAAAATTTAAAGGCCAAACACAAATGAAACATACTGCTTCAGCTAAAACTCAAATAATCTTTACTAAAATAGAAAACTCAATAGCAGCATTCAAAGGGCCATGGTTTTCCAGCACAAATATTAATGTCTTCATATACCTGTTAAGGCTGCATGCGTAGAAATATCAAAGAAATTGTAATCATCACTTCAAAGAAGGATTTATGAGAAGACTGAAGAAATATAGGCTGAGATCATCCTACTTGAATAATATTTCAAATTCATACTATGGATCATTAAAAGTTTGAGTGATGTCATGCCAATATGTGTATCAGTATTCTTTAATACAAAAGACATGACTGTATAACAATAAATAGCTACTTGAGTCATACATGTAATTTTTTTTTTTTAAGGAGTCAACTTGATTTAATTAATATCCAAATAAGTCATCCATAAAGGGGTATGCAAATCATCTAAAAATAATCTTCACTTTCTTATTTGTATCAAATGTTACTATCACTGTTCAGCCAATACATAATAAGTTATCAATATATTTGTTCCAACCTTGCACATATTCAGCTTAACATTCCTATTTTTTTTTCCACGCTCAACTTGGGAGTCGATTTTTAAGACTCCATTGAGTTTGATTACAATTTTATAAAATTATAATTTCCATAATATTCTATAAATGTATAAAAAACATGTTGTACTTCTATATTAAACCACCCAACCTATAACTTTTAAAATGATATCATCATCCACCACATCACAGTCTCCTGTCATAAATCCCAGATCACAACTTAACATTGCTTTATCTTCAAAAGAGAGTGACAAATAAAGTATCAACAATACACTTGTTAAAATTCCATATTGATGTTTGATGTTAAGCCCACCGTGATTAAAAACTCTTTGATCACTCCCATAACTAGTAATCAAATCGACATTCCATCGTATATATATTCCACATGCCACTAAAACAATAATCAGTTTTTTTAATTAATTTAGACCAAACAAGTTCTTATGGTGCTTGATAATTTATTTTTCAAGATCAACAAACATAACATGTCCATTTACTACACTGTACATAAATTTTTTTTTTATTACCACACTGTACCTTATTATTTTGCTCATTATACTCTCCCAAAAAATATCTTTCTCAAAAGTCCATTTACTAGTTTCTGAAAAATAGCAGTTTGAGTTTTCCTTCTGTCTTCATATTTATCTAATATCCTATATCATTACTTTATATTGAGTGTAACTTGATCAAAATCTATATATCTATAATCTCTCAACTTAGCTATCAATATATCTTATTATCTCCTTTCTTAATACCAAATTTATCATATAATCACTAAAAGATGCAGCCTTTGGTTTTCAATCATTTTAAGTTTCAGTAATATTTATGTTTCGTTGGTCCTAAAAGCCCGTTTTTCATGATAACCTTTCTTGTTTCCTAGCTCAACCACCAAATTTTCTTATGCAATATCTATTTCAAAATCCTTGTCAAAATTCAGTATCAATCTTCTCCAGGGCGCCAATCATTCATCAAACATGCGTAGCTAAACTATAGGATTCTGATTTTTCACTCTTAACATTATATCTTAAGAGATTAGTAACATCTCATCTTTCAATTTCTACCATCATATTAGTTTTTTAAAGCTTGAGATATACATTCATAACTACTGCTTCATATTTTGATTTCAAACTTTCTACTAATATCCATCCACACAATCTTTACAAAATGCTATTTATTTCCTTTCAAGTAACAATAAGTTAATTTGTGATTTGGTAACTCCATTTTTAAAAGTAACTAAGTGTTTATTCTCATTTGTTGAAGTATGTATTCATTGTTGCAAAATAATACGTAACTATAAAACCAATACAGCTGCTCCCAAAGTATTTTTATCTTGCATTTCATATTTACAATAAGACATCTTATAGCAAATCATATTAGAGCCTATATGGTCATCTAAGACATCTTCAATAACTATCATTTCTTATGCCTGTGTAGCCATACTTTAAAGGAATTGATTGGTCAAGCAATTAGATTCACTGTAAGAGTTTGCTATAGAAGGCATCAACATGTATAGCAGCAAGGACTCATAGCGAGAGCCCATTGCAGAAAAAAATTGATTGGATTTAGCAACAGGAGTTCATTGTGATAGGAGTCACAACGGGAGTTCGCTACAGAAGGCATACACAGGTTTAATAATGAGAGTTCATTGTAGAAGGCATTGACAAATCCAAATGCATTTCGAAATAGAGACTCGCTTTTGAATCAGATTAATTAAATGACAAGGAAAAAATTCTTAAAAGTTCTGATCGAGCTATCTCAGAAGCCAATGAATCGGAGCTGCCCAAACTCTAGCTCGAGTTTGTATAATATACGAATAGTTAGCTAAGCTCGAGCTTATGACTTCACAAACTAAACTCACAAGCTTGTGTTCTAGTTCAAGCTAGCCACAACACGGCTCAGCTCATTTATACTCTAGCTATGACCAGATTTGATACAACCTACTTGACTCTACAAAGCATTCTGGAAGCAAGACAATTTTTAGAGGCTACAGTCAACTCTACATTATGGTTAAACTATGCATGGAAAAAAAAAAACTTCAAGGATAAGAAGTTGGAAAAATTGTTATGAACAAAAAGTTTTTGATTAAGTTTGAGCCATGCAATAATAACAAGACCATTGATTCAAGTTTTAAGGATGATTGATGTGAATAAAAAATCATTTATGAGCTTCATTTATGATGTGATGGATGATGCTAAAGAGGAGTCCAACTATGAAGAAATTTGAGAAATAATTAATAAGAGTTAGGAAATCAAACTTCATCAATATGGTATGCCACAGGATATTTTCTTAATTCTCAATTTCAATATTTGAAAACAAGTCCAACGGTTTGATTTATACTATTCTATGTATCAATTGACAACTAACTTGAGAAGATGAGGGCCAGTCTACACCTTAAATCTTTAGAAATAAGAAAGATTTATTTTACCTACAAGTAGTCAAAGAT